ATTTTGATAAAGTGCTATTAAGCCAATACAATGCATAGTGGTGCCTGAAGCACCACTGCCATTCTAAAGGCAGATTTTGAAAAAAAAAATTAATCTAACTTATCCGTGGTAGTAAAAACACTTCGATGTGATCGACTCAACCACAACGAAGAGCGAGAAAATATTGAAACAAACATCTTAGTTACTGTTGTAAGTCTGTTTCTAGGTGGAGAAACTAAAGCACAAAAGCTCAGTATTCCCTCCTTAACTGATGGACTAGGTTATATCAAGTCTTTCCATACATTAACTTACTGACCAGGAACCCCGCTAGATTTCATTTCCAGGGAAATACTGCACGTGCTCAATTATGCTGAAAGTACAATATAAGATTATTACATTGACTAAAGCTAACTTGAAGAAGAAAATAGGTTTTTTTCCCTATAATTAAGTTTTCGTCACAAATAAGAATTGTCACTGGCCCTGTGTGTATGGCGCTGTTGGTATGGTTAACAGAATCCTATCGTCAACCATTGAACAGCTTTTATTTAGCATTCCCAATAAAACGATTATCAACTAGAATTAATAACAGTAATGAGGCACGCTTCAAACTGGCATTCATATCTGCTATAAATGCCAGTCAATAGTAGATAGATGAACATTAGCTGAAAATATCGCACAAGATATCAATACGTAGTTTTGACTTACTGGTTCTCGCCGTCAAAATTCACTGTTATTGGAGTAGAATTTTTCTTTCTAAGCTGACCATCCCTTTGAGTTTTACATTAATAATCTGGTCTTCATAGTCAGATGTAAATTGTGGTATAAAAACTTGTATGAAATATTTATTGTAAGAGTGAATGGGTATCGTTAGTGTTGCCATTCTACATTCCCTGTGATTCATATTTGTTTCCGGTACGTTGTGTTTAAAGAAATCGATCAGTGATAGTTTAACACAAATACTGTTTGTTCCCTCAATAGTACCTGTCCTACTTTAACCGGTTACGTTTTTTCTCTATAGTAGACCAGCCAGACTATTGTTCGATTTCACATTTCGGAAAATCACGGAACTTCCGTGCATTAGACACAAATAGTGTGTTCGGTGGAGCGTATCGATTGTCGATTTGGTACCATTGTTTTTGACATGAACGTGCCATTCACATCGATGTTTATGTTCATACAGTCCGAAAGCAATTAGCTACTGGAAGGTTTACACTGAACCGTAAGCATATCTTCTATCTAAGCGTCGAATAGGAGGAACACCAGCTTTCTAAATACAAATGCTGGGATATTCCCTGTTCCTGCAAATCTCTTTCAGTTTCAAACGGCTAATGTCACATCTTATTCCACTTTGATACAAAGGGGATTATGTTTGTGTAGAAGTTGATATGCAAAAAGAATGGAAAAGAACTTTTCTGAAGTAAATGTTTTCTTGTACATGTGCACAAAGTCCATAATAATTTCTCTCCTTCTAAGTTATATTCTCCCTCCAAGAGCTGGTTTGATTATATTTTGTTTAATACCCCTGTCAATAGCTATGGCCATTTAAAGACGGGTTCTCAGTGTATGCGAAGTGAATAAATGTGTTGAGAGTGCGTGTTCTCAAGAGTCTCGTGAAAGTGCCAAACTGCAGCCGATTTTATAGCACTATCACGCTGAAGTATACTGCCGTGTTTAAGTTTTGTGTTTACTCCACATTGAGATTGATTTCTCTCTGAGAACTTTAGCTATGATAAAGAAACCACCATTGAAATGCCTCTTATTTTTAACCTACATTTAACTGTAATTATTAGAGCCGTTTAGCTCAGTTTTGAGCTTTATTTCTCATGACGTATTTAAGCCGTTATAACCAAACCTGGAATATCTTTATCAATGTTCATCGCAACTTACCTCTGTGGTTCTTATTTTCACCTGCAGTTTACTGTTCATTGGACCTTGTTAATTAACTCGGACATGTATGATGTTAAAGTCTCCAGTTGTGTTCAGTGTTGAGCGTTATTTCTATCGAAGCACTTAAGCTATTATGTATAATCATCCCAACACGTACTTAAGATTCTCAATTTCACATACAGTTTACCGTAAATTAGACTTTTTGTAATGTCTGTAAACTTTTGACTGAATAATAATTGTATTTTGATTAAGAAAACTGTAAGTATAAGGATTAATTTCTGTTTTGTATAGGTTATTTGGGGAATAACTCGGGTAGATAAATAACTGGCGAAGTTAACCCCTATAACCTAGCCAAATGGGAAGTTAATCCTTAAGTACAATCAATATCGGAAGGAATCCATCCATCAACAGTGTTAGATCTGAAATTAAACACATTCTTTGTAATTACCTAATTATCATAACGTTTGAAATAGCAAGTTGAATGTTTTACACACAAAATTGATATTGTAGCTTAAACTATGACTTGTTCAAAGTTAATGGTATATATGATCCAGCATGTGAACTCGGTAATGAATGTGGAAATGAAATGTATTACCTTTTGGTTGTATATTTTAACACTTCTCACTATTGTAACATCGATATAAATATACTTCTGTTTCGGCTCTATACCTGTCTGATGGGTAAAACGGATATATTTTTCAATCCGTTCATACTTTATCAAAAGCAGTGATCGATTTTAAGACCTAACCCATGTGATTTCTATCCAGACTTTTCTCAGTCCACACTCTATTCCTGGTCCTTATCTCCCCTCTTTATAACTATACACACGTAGATAACCTAATCTGATGTGTATTGTTGTAAACATATTTTTGCGTGTCCGGTGTAATTTCTGGGGATTTCTTCTAAGTTGTGATTATCTGTGTCTAATCTGTTTATCACTTGGAACAAATAAACTACTACATTATGTTGAAATCTACAGCTCCGTCGATTATATCTATTATTTAATACTGATAAACAGTGTATTAAGTAGATGGAAAGAGGAGAACTTCATGTGTTTAATAATATTTTGGTAAGAAAGAGACTTAACAATGGGGCATTTCTCACAAGAAGTTACTGGAGCAATGTCAATGATACGTGACATATACAATGTCAATGATCCGTGACATACACAATATCAATGATACGTGACACATACAATGTCAATGATACGTGACATATACAATGTCAATGATACGTGTCATACACAATGTCAATGATACGTGACACATACAATATCAATGATACGTGACACATACAATGTCAATGATACGTGAAATATACAATATCAATGATACGTGACACATACAATGTCAATGATACGTGATACATACAATGTCAATGATACGTGAAACATACAATGTCAATGATACGTGATACATACAATGTCAATGATACGTGACACATACAATGTCAATGATACGTGACACATACAATGTTAATGATACGTGATACATACAATGTTATTGATACGTGATAATACAATGTCAATGATACGTGACATATACAATGTCAATGATACGTGACACATACAATGTCAATGATACGTGACACATACAATGTCAATGATACGTGACACATACAATGTCAATGATACGTGACACATACAATGTTAATGATACGTGATACATACAATGTTAATGATACGTGATAATACAATGTCAATGATACGTGACATATACAATGTCAATGATACGTGACACATACAATGTCAATGATACGTGATACATACAATGTCAATGATACGTGACACATACAATGTCAATGATACGTGACACATACAATGTTAATGATACGTGATACATACAATGTCAATGATACGTGACACATACAATGTCAATGATACGTGACACATACAATGTCAATGATACGTGACACATACAATGTTAATGATACGTGACACATACAATGTTAATGATACGTGACATATACAATGTCAATGATACGTGACACATACTATGTCAATGATACGTGATACATACAATGTCAATGATACGTGACACATACAATGTCAATGATACGTGACACATACAATGTCAATGATACGTGACACATACAATGTCAATGATACGTGACACATACAATGTCAATGATACGTGACACATACAATGTTAATGATACGTGACACATACAATGTTAATGATACGTGATACATACAATGTCAATGATACGTGACATATACAATGTCAATGATACGTGACACGTACAATGTCAATGATACGTGACATATACAATGTCAATGATACGTGACACATACAATGTCAATGATACGTGATACATACAATGTCAATGATACGTGACACATACAATGTCAATGATACGTGACACATACAATGTTAATGATACGTGATACATACAATGTCAATGATACGTGACACATACAATGTCAATGATACCTGACATATACAATGTCAATGATACGTGACACATACAATGTTAATGATACGTGACACATACAATGTTAATGATACGTGATACATACAATGTCAATGATACGTGACATATACAATGTCAATGATACGTGATACGTGACACATACAATGTTAATGATACGTGATACATACAATGTCAATGATACGTGACATATACAATGTCAATGATACGTGACACGTACAATGTCAATGATACGTGACACGTACAATGTCAATGATACGTGACACATACAATGTTAATGATACGTGACATATACAATGTCAATGATACGTGATACATACAATGTCAATGATACGTGAAACATACAATGTCAATGATACGTGATACATACAATGTCAATGATACGTGACACATACAATGTCAATGATACGTGATACATACAATGTCAATGATACCTGACATATACAATGTCAATGATACGTGACACATACAATGTCAATTTTCTTTTTATATGGGATTGATCAAGCATATAATATTTTTCGACTTCTAATTTGGTCATATCATTAATGACTTGAAGTCACCTTTTAGTGTTCTGTCAGCTGTGTCCAAATTTTTTTTGCTGTGATAATCACCAAGTGAACAGACTGGATCAAGCTGATGACGTCATAAGGATATCCTAACTTTACGGCAGTTACAAGTGTATAATGCCCTTTTATGTTTTTCAGGTACGGTGGGTTCTGTCCGCAGTTTAAGTATCAGATTGGTGAAACATTTGGTCGCACTACATCCTGTCTTCTCAAGAATGACGCTGTAGCCAGCTCTGGAAAATTAGTACTTGCCGACCTATCGAAACCACGCCCTAGTTCAGAACCCTCCCACTCAAAGTCAAATCTTCTAAAGAATCGTACACAAAGTTGGGGCGACCAGAAACTTCTAGAAAAGATGGTACCAGGTTATACAGGTAAGTTAACGTTAATTTCATCATTTTGTCGGATATCTCAACTTAGAATGTTAATGACCGCCTGGTATATAGTAAGTAAGTAAGTAAACTCATACATTGTATGCAAACTTGTAGTTATATAATATAGTCACAGCGTATTTTTTTACACTGGGTTGTTTTCGCAACAATGAATTGTTGCTGAAATTAGTATTGGATTCTGTAAATTATCTAAACATGTGAACAACATCACAAATAATGCTAACTATCGTATAGCCTGTTATTTTCGCGGCAACGACGATATTTTCGAAATTTCGTGGTACATGAACTTGAGCGCGAAAATTTACTCTGTGAAATAGAGACACGTAGGTATCAGATGTTCTTTCACATCCAGATCGCGAAATTTCCATTTGTTAAATATAACTTGACAGTTTTTTATTTGAAAATCGCGAAAATATCGCCCCGTGAAAATTAACAGATATACGATATATTGCATTACTGATATTTTTCTGATATCAACTACAAAATGGACAATATTCCAGTAAAAAAACCAACACTCCAAAATTCAGCACGAAACAGTATCCCAATGGCGAATTACAACATTGCCCTAAATAGAAGATACAAATTTTCAACGTCAATGCAGCAGTAACAACTCATTGTGTCTTGTCAGGTTTTATTCCCAGAAGTCAACACTATTTCGGAAACCGATACGCCATCAACTGTCGCAGTGCCATCACAGATTTTGAGGCAGATCACAGGCTACACAATGAGAAGCTACAAGACCTTAAACTCACAGCCGAGCTACAGCAGGGGAAAGTGTTAGACAAAGATGGTAAACCAATGCCGGTAAGTGTTATATAAGGATGGTAAACCAATGTCTGTAAGTGTGAGACAAGGACAGTGAACCAATGTCTGTAAGTGTGAGACAAGGATGGTAAACCAATGTCTGTAAGTGTGAGACAAGGACAGTGAACCAATGTCTTTACGTGTGAGACAAGGATGATATACCAATGTCTGTAAGTGTGAGACAAGGACAGTGAACCAATGTCTTTACGTGTGAGACACGGACAGTGAACCAATGTCTTTACGTGTGAGACAAGGACAGTGAACCAATGTCTTTAAGTGTGAGACAAGGACAGTGAACCGGTGTCTGTAAGTCTGTAAGTGTGAGACAAGGGTGGTAAACCAATGTCTGTAAGTGTGAGACAAGGACAGTGAACCAATGTCTGTAAGTGTGAGACAAGGATGGTGAACCAATGTCTGTAAGTGTGACACAAGGACAGTGAACCAATGTCTGTACGTGTGAGACACGGACAGTGAACCAATGTCTGTAAGTGTGAGACAAGGATGGTGAACCAATGTCTGTAAGTGTGAGACAAGGGTGGTAAACCAATGTCTTTAAGTGTGAGACAAGGATGGTAAACCAATATCTGTAAGTGTGAGACAAGGATGGTGAACCAATGTCTGTACGTGTGAGACACGGACAGTGAACCAATGTCTGTAAGTGTGAGACAAGGACAGTGAACCAATGTCTGTAAGTGTGAGACAAGGACAGTGAACCAATGTCTGTAAGTGTGAGACAAGGACAGTGAACCAATGTCTGTAAGTGTGAGACAAGGACAGTGAACCAATGTCTGTAAGTGTGAGACAAGGATGGTGAACCAATGTCTGTAAGTGTGAGACAAGGATGGTAAACCAATGTCTGTAAGTGTGAGACAAGGACAGTGAATCAATGTCTGTAAGTGTGAGACAAGGGCAGTAAACCAATGTCTGTAAGTGTGAGACAAGGACAGTGAACCAATGTCTGTAAGTGTGAGACAAGGATGGTAAACTAATGTCTGTAAGTGTGAGACAAGGACAGTGAATCAATGTCTGGAAGTGTGAGACAAGGACAGAGAACCAATGTCTGTAAGTTTGAGACAAGGACAGTGAACCGATGTCTGTAAGTGTGAGACAAGGACAGTGAACCAATGTCTGTAAGTGTGAGACAAGGATGGTAAACCAATGTCTGTAAGTGTGAGACAAGGACAGTGAACCAATGTCTGTAAGTGTGAGACAAGGACAGTGAACCAATGTCTGTAAGTGTGAGACAAGGACAGTGAACCAATGTCTGTAAGTGTGAGACAAGGACAGTGAACCAATGTCTGTAAGTGTGAGACAAGGACAGTGAACCAATGTCTGTAAGTGTGAGACAAGGATGATATACCAATGTCTGTAAGTGTGAGACAAGGACAGTGAACCAATGTCTGTAAGTGTGAGACAAGGACAGTGAACCAATGTCTGTAAGTGTGAGACAAGGATGATATACCAATGTCTGTAAGTGTGAGACAAGGACAGTGAACCGATGTCTGTAAGTGTGAGACAAGGACAGTGAACCAATGTCTGTAAGTGTGAGACAAGGATGATATACCAATGTCTGTAAGTGTGAGACAAGGACAGTAAACCAATGTCTTTAAGTGTGAGACAAGGATGGTAAACCAATATCTGTAAATGTGAAACAAGAATTGTAAGCCGGTGTTAGACAAAATGATAAATCCATATTTTACCGGCCAAGTTTTATTGCCATAAGGACAAAAAGAAACAATTGTAAGTATATCAAAAAACTTTATTTCATGTCTGTAGATTTGATCAGACCACTTTCTATTTGACTTGCAGGCTATCCGAAGTCGGTACTTTACCCCACTGACACCGGTTGCTAAGGAACCAAAACCTTACATATCCGCTAATGGTTTCCAGCATTCGAAGTCTCCGTATTACATGGATAACGAAAATCCCAATAAATGTTTTATGTCCGGTAAGTCATTATAGTATTTATATCAACGTCATCCTCGGCTGTATTTTTATCGTATTTACCTCCTATGTATTTCCGTCAGGGTGATAACCCTTGACACCTGAGAGGTGATCTGTTACAATTGTATGACGTACGACATAACCTTACCAAATATCAGTCCTCCATTACCTGTCAACGGTATGGAAATAATATAAGTAATGTAAGGAAACTAGGCTTGTCGTCTATCCTAAGGGAAACACAATAATGATAGATATAACATTGAACTGATTTTAGACACAACTATGACACCGAAAGCAGTTCAGTATTTTGGAAAGATCACCCGTTAAGGACGCCATGTTTTTTTTTTGGAGATACTTCCCAGTTAAGGCCTCCATGTTTCATTTTGGAGAGACTTCCCTGTTCTGGCCTCCATGTTTTAGTTTGGAGAGACCTCCCTGTAAGGCCTCCGTGTTTTTTTGGGTTTTTTTTTTTTTGGAGAGACCTGTCTGTTCAGGCCTCCATATTTTTATTTTGAAGATACCTCCCTGTTGAGGCCTCCATGTTTTATTTTGAAGAGACCTCCCTGTTGAGGCCTCCATGTTTTATTTTGAAGAGACCTCTCTGTTAAGGACTCCATGTTTTATTTTGGAGAGACCTCCCTGTTGAGGCATCCATGTTTTATTTTGGAGAGACCTCCCTGTTGAGGCCTCCATGTTTTATTTTGGAGAGACCTCTCTGTTAAGGCCTCCATGTTTTTATTTTGGAGAGACCTCTCTGTTAAGGACTCCATGTTTTATTTTGGAGAGACCTCTCTGTTAAGGCCTCCATGTTTTTATTTTGGAGAGACCTCTCTGTTAAGGCCTCCATGTTTTTATTTTGGAGAGACCTCTCTGTTAAGGCCTCTGTGTTTTATTTTAGAGAGACCTCCCTGTTAAGGCTTCTGTGTTTTATTTTGTAGACACCTCTCTGTTACGGTCTCCATGTCCCATATTTCCAGGAGGCCTCCCCTTTTTTATTTTGAGTAGATCATCAGGTTCTATGTTAAGTACGTTATCCGTGTTTGATGTCGAGTACCTCCCGAGAAATTTCCAAGTCTCCTTTCATAAATCTTAAACGAAAGGGAAACTGATTTCTTTTTTGACATGTGCAGGTTATACAGGATTTGTACCACGTAGTAGAGGACAGTTAGGAATGGGCTATCCCATCATCACTCACCAGGGGCTCAACGAGTTCACCAACGACCTGAAGAATATGAAGGCAGCCATGAGCAGAGATGTTAACCTGAAGAGGGAGGCTCCCAAGGCGATCAACACTAAACCCATCTACCCCGTAGAAAGTGGACTGGTACCTCACTACACCGGTCACATACCAGGTACGTATAAAGTGGACTGGTGCCTCACTACACCGGTCACATACCAGGTACGTAGAAAGTGGACTAGTACCTCAATACACCGGTCACATACCAGGTACGTAGAAAGTGGACTAGTACCTCACTACACCGGTCACATACCAGGTACGTAGAAAGTGGACTGGTACCTCACTACACCGGTCACATACCAGGTACGTACAAACACTGGGGTATCTTTACCTATCTATACCGACTACAGAAGTACCCATAGTGTACCAAGTCAAAGATTTGTGCAGTAAAAATGGACTTGAGAACTTGTAACTTGTGTATATGGAACTATTCGTATGTATTTGTAACATTAACGATGTTTTGGGGTTCTAGGTTAGACCGACAAACTTTTTGATTTCAACACTGTTACAAGTTCTCATGTCCCTGTGGCGCAGTGTTCATAAACGAATTGTGTTGAATTGTTACATGTCCTCGTGTGTTCACTTCCTCATTACTTCGTTATTAGGTCATTTATCTCTTCGTTTAGTGTATTTACTTACATGCGTTTTACTGTTTTTTACAGGTCAAAAGTTCCGATACGGTGAGACCTTTGGACACAGTACCGAGAATGCCCTTAGACAACCACCACCAAGAGAACTCATAGCCTCTATTTAAATACTTAAATCGTTCCGTTTATCGGGAGAGCACCGATAAAAATTAACCCGTGTAAATGATTGACTACATCAAAGAGTATCAAGTTTAAAATCCATGTAATTTGGAGGAATATCCAACTTCATATTCATTAATCAAGATTTCTTCATACTGCCAATGTTTACCGGAATAGATTGAATTAACTGCCTGTCACAGTAGCGAGGGTACGATTTGCATTCAATGCAAGATACTAAAGCACATTTGGTTTGAGAATTGCTATGATAGACTGTTGTTTTGGTAAGGTTTCAAACCAGAACACACACAATATGTTTTCTATGTCATGTATATGTTCAAAATTGTCGGTTTGTGTATATATTAAATTATATATATCAGTGTACATAATATAAAGAAAATCATGTTATAAAGTTCCATATGTATATTTATTAAATGTCATTCTCGTATAAAATATTTATTTTTGTTAAACTGCATCTGTACATTGCTCAAATTGTAAATACGGTTGATATTTTCCATAAGCTGTTGATCTGTGATAAACTTTCTGAAGGACGATGAACACGTTTTGTTATTTTTGTGATCAATGTAAGGGAGAAAACTCCACCACTTTGTTAGTCTCATCAACACGTATAGCACGAGGTTCACTTACTTCATGTAGGTACTATTAGGTGATGTCGCTATAATAAATTAACGATACCAGTTATATAATTAGTTGATATCACCTGATCGTTTTGGAGATACCACTTAAATGGAATAAAACGTAAATAGCGATCCATGGTACATATTTTAACACAAATGTTTCATAAAGTATTGTAGGTCTGTACAATATGTAGAAATTCAGAATCCTACATATATAAGAATACACAAAACTACCATTTCTGTCTGGAACTTTATGTGATGTAATTTACCTACGTAAATACCATGTATAAGTAAAATCTATGATATTTAATGATATGTTTCTGGTACATGATGTATTATCCTGTACATCAGACTTAAAGCTTAGTTATTTGTTCTAGATATGAAAGTTTACTGTAACGACACTACAGTCATAAATTATATATATTCTTATATAATAAATCCATGCTGATAATCGCCAATCGCTGATTTTTAATTGCGCATCAAGAAATAGAGAGAAATAGAAATAGACACGAAGGTTAACAACACCTCCCCAACCACACAAGTCTTTAAAACTCACTTCTGTCGAACCGCTGTGTGGATCTAAACAAAAGGTGGTACTAATCATTAGATTAAGGGAACCTCAATTACCGTGTACCAGTAAATGGAAGCCCCCTCCCTCCCTCCTTGTTAGAGGGGCGAAGACCATGAAGTAAAGAGAAATTTCGTTTAGACACAACTTAGTGTTACAAGAAATTATACAGTTCGTCGACGATGTAGTAACAGTTGTGTGAGAAATGACAATTAAGAAACGCAATTTCTTACTAAAAAGATTATAATACGCTACAAGGAAATATTGCTAACATTTTATCTGTAATAATGGGCTATTATTTGGTCATTGATACAGTCGGTTTAGCGAAATATAAAGTCCCGTCATTTTACTAAAACAATAAATTCAAACTGTTCTTGTTTTCGTTTGTTTGTTCGTTTTTAATTAAAAAAAACGGTGAATGGAACTCTTTTTTCCCTTAGAAACCATCGCTGTCGCAGTCAGTTAAACCAATAAAATAACGGTTATATAGCAAGTGGGGTGAAGTCGAGACAGATTCCGTTGACGTATAAGGTACTACCACTATCGTATTGAAGTCTTTTTATGTCTTGGTTTACGAGAATGTTGACGTTCAGACATTCTTAATTTGATAAACATTCCGTGTACAAATATCAAACAGATAATGGCAATGCAGTTGGCGGAACAGAAAATACATGTTAACACTGGAGTACTCTGTACAACTGCATTCCAACATCTCACTGATAGATTGAAATGTCACATATTGTTATCATATATAGCGTTATCACACTGAAATCTTACGCAAGGATATCCTTATGATATATAGCGTCACCCAAAGAATGTCACATCGTGATTTTCATCTTTATCAAATAACCAGCCTGTTTCATCCATGTTTTTTTGGTTTTTTGTTTTTTTGCGATTATGTTATTGTGTAATATACCCAGCAAATTTTTATTATATGTGTCAGTCAGAAATCCATAGTGATGTCATGATATGGACAATGACGTTACGTCGTAAATTGAAAACGGTGCAACAACATGGCTGCCTCCGTTTGATGTTGATCGCCACACTTTGATATCTAAACCTATTAAAATGTATCTTATTTTAGTTATTTGATTAAAATGTATCTTCGTCTCGATAAGGCTAACATCATAGAACCTTATAATAAGCTGTAATAAACAAGTTTATCTACGAATATTCTTCAAATTGCTGTTTTATCCGTTGCGGAGCAATTTTCGGATATGACACCAGCCAAAATTAAGCGTAAAGTCAGTATCATGTAAACAAAAACTGAACAAGAAAACTGTTAAAGTGTTGATAGTCTGAATTTCAATCTATGTTGCCAGGATGATTACATGATCATCAGTGGCGTAGCAAAACATTTTTAAGAGTGTATGCTTTCAAGAGAGAATCCAAGGGCGAAGCCCCGGTTAAAGGGGTCTAGGGGCGCAGTAAGGTTAAAAAAGAAGGGCAAATATATCTCAATGGAATTCGAGTGTATGTTTAAGCATACAAGCATACATTATTGCTACGCCTCTGGTCATTGTCTTAAATTATAATCTGTATTTTGGCTCGGGACAGAAAGACAAAAAGGTGACTCGCCACTTTTGTCTTTCTTCGCCCTCGTTAAAATATATCTTATATTTTAAGACATTCACAATGTATTCTCGATATATACGAAATAAACACAGATTAACGATCATATATGTATGGCGTCATCCCACTGAAATGTCACATCGCAGTGTTGTTATCATATGTAGCATCACCCCACTGAAATGTCACATCGCAGTGTTGTTATCATATGTAGCGTCATCACAAAGATATATCACATCTTGATATATGATAGTAATCATAGCGTCATCGCGCTGAAATGTTACATCGCGATGAAATGATCACAATCCGATAGCGTTATCACACTGAAATTTCTCTTCTTGAAATTTACTGAATAATTATACTGGAACACTACCATTGTGACTACACTCGGTGGTACTTGAGATGGAAAGTGTTACGCCTGGGTTCATCGGGTCTGAACACATCTATAGGATCAGCCAGGTCGGTGGAGAGTTTCTCATTTTTAATTCAACTGAAAACCGTGATTCTAAATATTTATATCGCGATTTTAAATATTAATTATATGTTTTCGACCGTTATTATTACAGTTTCGGGTATTGAAATAAATGAGTTAAATACATTATATACTTTGTACGAACTAAATTTACTTTACAAATGAATACTAAAATTGGTCCTAATTAAAAACGACACCAGAGAGGTATATATATGCCCATACTTATATATCTCTTAAACCCTCCTTACATACCACTACACAAGAATATAGTGTGTGTGAAAATCTCCTTTCAAGTATTAAACTAGTTTAGTTTAATAAACAATAATTTTATTAACACAAAAGTCTACTGTAACCAGAGAAATATATATACGTCTCTGACTGTACTGATAGAACAACAAATAAAAAAATGTACTCGTTACAAGTTCTGGCTACTTCTAGTTTCTAAAAAAAATCATAATTTTTAAATCTTCTTTAATATCGATCAATTATTTATCTATTGCTTATCAATAAATTTCAATTATCAACAACTGAAACAAACTTCTCTAACGACTCCGTCTTCTTAAAACATCTATACACTATACAAAATGTACACAAACACTGAGCACAAATCACGGACAGGCAGCGTATGTCAGTACCCTCCTTAAGGCTAACTGAAAAATTCCAAACAGCGTTCTTTTTTATGTCGTTATGTTTTGCTGTCAAAATATTTTCTTTCAGAATATATATGTTTATCAACAAAATCTACAGAATGATAGATGATTTGAACTGCCGTGACCAGTGTTTTGTTCTGCACGTGGGTACATAAACATGCAGGTTCGATTTGCACGAGCTACCCGCTTAGTAAAGAGAGCACTCTTTGTTGTCGAAGGTACGAAAGCTCCTCAAATGAAAGTTTTGTCGGGGAGTCGGAGATCCTCGTTGACGAAGACACCGCACTAGAAGACGCTATGGTTTTGCTTATTTTCATAACGATGGATGTACATAACCAGTAAGTCTTAACCCATGGTTTATTTGTATGCTGAGGCAAATGCATTTCGTTGTTACATCGAATTAGCTCTTAATACATAACCTATTCATGCAAGTTTGTGCAGCAAGTGTGATCAAGACACGCAAATCCTGCCCACTTACGTTGAAACTGAGTACATATTCATTCAGTGAGCCTTTCGATAATTCCACATTTTGTAAGTGTTCATTATTTTGTCAAATATAAACGACAAAGTTTTAATTTTAGTCGAAGTTAAAGCCATCCTGTTCCATCTTTATGGAAGGGAGATAATCCCAACTCGGATTGTGACGTCACTCCATGTTAAAGGGAGGTCTTGTAATTCTAATAATCATCAAGTTCAGATTAATATTTAAGGTTATTGACCGAGGATTCACACTTTTTTTAAACAGAAAAGTAACACTGTTTGTATTTTGTTGGATCCAACTTCTCAAGATTTTTTTGGTTTCTTTATTTCTATGCAAGTATGACAAGTCATGCTTTGTTTTCAACTATCATTAAAGCTACTTGAAGTAAGGGTCCTTTAGAAGTTGTAGGAGTAGAGTAGTCCCATTTATTGTCGTGAGGTCAGAAGGTGGACTGTCCATTTGGCCCGTCATCTGCCACTATTCCGTATGTGTTTTCCTCCACCCCAACCCAAACAATGAACTAATTATCAATGAATCATGTTAAATAATAACTATCAAAAGTAAACTTGCATTTCTTTTTACCACTAGTATATTATCTTTTTCAGCACAACATCATCTGATAGTAGGAGATTCACAACACCCTACGTCTGTTGTCTGTCGAACCATCTGCCCACAAACAAATAAATGAAGAGCAGGTAGGCTTACAGGTACACTCCCGCCATTATAGATTGTTATCACCATTTCTTGGTAAGGACGGGATAGACCTTTCCTAAATATTTTTGTATGTTACCCAGGTCCCTAGTTGTGTATTGTTTATTTTTGTGATGGATCAGAAGATTAAAGCAGTTGAAAGTCAATCATCTTCAATATTGACAGATATAGTTTTGTTATTACTATTTTGTAAGAAGTATGTGATTGATCATTTTCAAATTCCTTATGTAAGTAAGGTTTCCCTTGGTCCTTAATATGGCATTGTCAGAAATGATTGGAGAAAATATTCTCAAATTTTGCTCGTCAGTATCTTGTGTAATGATTAATGATGAGTTCATTTGTCAATACAATAAATGAATAAGAACAAAGGAGAGGAAAGATGAGAAAAGAAACAAAAGACTCAACTTGAATCAAACCAATAAAAATCATAGGATAGTGGGCACCAAGTTCCCTCTGGGGTTTCTCGTTTCCTTATTACTCACTGATAAACTTTGCCTATAATGATATATCTACATTTATGAAGAGTGTGATCACGAGAACAAAATTACATTGATGATTTTTTGCAATATTATAGCACAATAAAAGTACCAATATATCATGATTTTTAGCTCACTGGTTATAGATTGAAAAAGTGTATTACAAGCTGCATGCACCTCAAATCTTCCATGTTTTTACAGAAAGTTCATGGTGACAAGATTGTTTTTGAAACATTATAGTTATGCATACTACATTCATTTAAAATAATTTAAATAAAACTCTTAGTCGATACTGACATTCTAATTTCATTGGACAACTACAAAAAGATAATAACAAGTTCACTCTTTTTCACATCAGAAATAATCTCATGTTCATTTTTCAGATATATGCCATGCTCTTCCAGTTGATGCTGAAGAAATATATGAAATGTTTTTGACCAAGTAATAGAAACAGATGACTAGGTCGAGATGGAGGAAGCTATGATTGTCTCAGACAGCAACACCACCATGGAGTCAGATATGAAAGGAGAGTATTCTTCCGATACCAACAATGAAAGTGAAGTTGAAAATGATGATATAGAAATCACTTTTGGACCATGGCCACCCTTTCCATCTAAACAGGACACAGAAGTTTCCGAAGACCAGATTCAAATGACAATTAACTCTGAGGACTCTAGTCAGCCTTTTATGCTTTATGAGCAAGAGTCTGTCGGTAGTGAGATTTCACTAGATGAACATATAGACCTAGAATCAGTAGAAGACTTCATAAAAACTGATGGCATCATCAGTCAGTGTGTACAGACTGATGAAACAGAAACGGCGGATGTCAGTGGTCAACATGAGGTACTCACAAGTAATAAAGCCTATACTATGAAGGACAGACTGAATGACCCAGAATTCACTACAGATGATGAAGGTAAAATTCCAACAGATGACAGTGCTGTAACAGATAGTTCTGTACACTCTGGTAGTGACATTATAGCAGATATTGGTGAACAGACTGCAAACTTGGCGAGTCTCCACACAGAATATGATGATGTCACCAGTAAATGTGTTCCTTCTGACAGTGATTCTAGATCTGCTAATTCTGATTGTGATGTTGACAGTTCTAGCAGCATACACATCAATGAGCACACTAAAAAGATGATCATCCCACCAACAGAATGTGGTGATGTCATTAAAAAGTATGTTCCTTCTGAAAGTGGGATGAGTCTGAATGTAAATGAATCTGTAATCTCAGATGTCATCAACGAACAATCTCAAATAACACCAGATATTGTGGTGAAAGACGAACCAGTGACTGATGGTTACCCTGACTCGACCCAAATGGTGATTGCGCAAGATGACAATCTCTTTGTCTCCACAGAACATGGAAAAATGTTCATGCGATCTGTGGCAGCAGAACCTTTGGAGAATGAAGGGAATGAGTTTGAGGAGAGTAAAATGGATAACTTAACAGATAAAGTACAGACAGATAGGAATGAAGTGTACAGACTTGAACCAGGAAAAGAACTGCTGAATAAAAATTTAAGGAGAGGTTGTCGAGAGAAAGCCAGAGTCCCTGGAGGGGAAGCTGGTAAGTTATAAAGAAACAGTCACAGGTTCACATGCGCAGGCATGGCAGTTGATATCATATGACAGCATTGCTTTTTAGAGAAAGAAAAAACTATCAAAGGTTGAAAGTAATGATGTTTGTCTTATGTCAAGTTCGCTTGGATACATCATTTTGTGCTTAAATATGTGGTACAAGTGGGAACTTAAGTCTATACCAGCGTTATTCGCAGTTTGAAAATAATCAGTCTTCCTTGTATTTATACATTACATATCAGTTGTAAGTCTGCATTGTATCTTATAATTACAACTGGGATATGTACACATACATTGATCCTTTATTTTTACCACAGTTCAGTGCAAATTTCATGGTCCCGGATAAGCAACCCACCAATTATACCATGTTGGTTCCCATTTTGTTGTTACAAGCTACCATCGAGGACTCTGTTATGTAAAAGCACTTGGCTTCCTAGGCCTGTGGACAGCGGAACAGGGTCATATAGGGGAAATGAAGCAATTGCTTTAAAATCCTTTCTCCTTCTGTTTGGATGAAGGTATTCTGATCAAATTTGGTCAGAAATATCCTTAAGGAAGAGACAACAATTTGTATAAATGGTGGGTCTTGGTCCCCCAAGGGCCTCAGGGGATTTTATCAGATATTTGATTTCCTTCATTTTCCTTAACAGAATTTTGTCCAAATTTATTTAAAGAGAGAAAATTTATTGTGTTTAAACCAGAGGTCTGACTTTTCTGACAGAAAAGGGTGGGATAGGGGTAAATATCTAAAAATTTTCCCCTTCTGTATTGATCAAACAATTGTGACTAAACTAAACCTGGCCTCATGTTTCATTTTACACTAATTATTTTTTTCATTATGTTTTTATGTAGATATTAGAAAAGGCCATGAGCATATACACGGAAGAATTATTAACCAAGATTCTGTTCTGGGAAGGAAAACAAGAGTATTGACAGAACCAAGGGATCACGAGGACACTAACTTAGATAAACAAGTACTAGTTCCAGGGACTAAAAGAGGAAAATTCAAGAAAAGATCTAGGAAATTTGCTCTTAGTTCTCCAAAGAAAAGAAAAAAATTAGAGGAGGGATCTGAAAAATTGATCAGCAAATGTAGAGTAGTCTCCCATTCTCAGTGCTTTTCTCCAGTATATAGTGAGGTTGACAACGACATGAGACCAGAAGACCAGGTTAGTAAATGTTTCCAATTTATCATTGGTCAGGTTAGTAAATGCATGTTTACAATTTAACATTGGTATATTGTGGTATATATACTGCTTTTGATATATTTTATAATACACTGTTTGCTATTTTCATTCTGCAACAAGCCCATTGGACCACCACAGCATTGCTTTATAAAAAATCAGGTGTGGGTTCATTACATGATGGTGAAATAACATATCTAGTTGATATATTTTGAGCAGGAATAGAAATGGATGGACTTAATGCTAGGCATGGACTTTTAACAGCTTTGTTTAATGAAAACATTGACATTGAAACTTGATTAGAAATGGGTGCATTTTTCTGACCTTGAAAAAATTGCCTCTGGATAAATTCTGTTGTTTTCATCCAAATATTCTGCAATGATGTTTAAAGAACAACTTTTTTTGTGAGTGGTGCTTTTGTTACAACCTTAACCAAATCATGTCTGTACAGCTCTTTCACTTTTGATCCAATTTTAGAGATAAATGTGTAGTGACCACATAAATGAAGGTTTGAACTTCATCTATAATGTTATTATGTGTAGGGCGTACTTCTGAAAGCTGTAAAATCATAAAAAAATATGTTGAATATTGTGATTGCAAAAGATTAAAATCATACCTTTAGAATCCCCTTAAATGCTGACATTTCCTTAATTGATATATCTACCAGAATAAAATAAATCAGTCAGTGTATTTACTTTCAGGAAATGATACACACACTATTCTCAAGTTGTTAGGTCAAATGTAATCACATTGGAATTCAAACTTTGTGTAGCTTTTTGATTCATACAATTCTTAATTGCTCTTTCCTTTACCTTGAAACCTGGATATCGTATAACATGAAAAGTGATTTGTGCTGTAATTCTTAAATTGGAATCCCATTTTTTTTTTTCAGGTGTCCTACAATTTAAGTTCTAGTTCAGCTGTCAATGCAGTGGGGAGCCTTACGAGCCATGAACAAGTTGACTTATCCCTGGTGAAGACTGAACCAATAGAATCCACTGACCAGGATCAAGGGAATGCTGGTATTAAATTAATGGAGACAGAAGCTACATCATGGATGAAAAAGGAACCAGATGAAAATAATCTTATGGAAAGTTCAATTGAAACCACTATTCCAGTTCCAGTGAAACTAATCCGAAATGAGGTTATCAATTCTGGGACACCAAGACCAGGAATGGGGACCGTAATTTTGACCAATTCGCATCAACAGGTAGGTAGTACAACCAAGATTTTGAAGAGTGTGACTACTGACATGTTAGAAGGACCGTCCATTAATCTAGAGAGAGGTCAGAAAATATGGTATGCTGTACCAAAGGGAGACCACTCTACTATTCCGATTAGTGGTACTGGTAGCAGTGATCAAAGGATTGTTAAAGTAATAAAACTGGACAGTGTAAAAAATGCCCCCCAAACTCTATTGCTACCCGGTAATCTAAAGCTGTGTAAACTTCAGAAAACACCAAATATGGCACTCTGTGAAGGCAAAGAAATTCCATTGTCATCTGTTCCAAGTCATAGACACGCTGTTGCTGACGATACATATACTTCTGATAATGAGGAGGATCATGAACAGAAAAATCTGTCATCTATTCTAAATCATAAAAATGAGATGCTTGCTGACAATACATGTACTTTCAATCAAGAGGAGGATCAGGATGAGAAAAACCTCATGCTAAAGAAAATTGATAGTATCATCGAAAAAAATCTTGAACTGATGAAGAAAAATCAACTTCCTACTATGAGAAAAAGAGGGTCTAACTTAACACAGAAACTGTTTCCCTCCCAGAATCAAGTGATGGGACCTCATTGGTGTGAAAAAATTGATGAAGAAACTGGAAAAACCACTATGGTTCTAATGCCAACTACAGGTGAAGAAATGACGACAAAAAAAACACTCCCTAGGATTATCTACAGATCAAAAAATTCAGGTTCTAAGAAAAAACAAAAGACAGATAAATGGAAAAAAAAAATTCCTGTGGATGAACAAATTGATGGTATAATTAGAAAGAATCTTGAGATGCTGAAGAAAATTCAGCTTCCAGAGAAAATTCAGTCGCAACCGCCACAAATAGAAGAAAAAAATGAAAATACAGATATGGTTGTGGTGAAAAACATAGTCGGAGAGGAAAAAGATGGGAAACCACTCAACACAGTTATCTACAGATTTATCTCATCTAGACGTCAGAGTAAGCAAAATATTACAGACACTTCCTGTTCCAAGACACCTACTCCAGCATCCCCTTCTTTACAGCTACCTGATGTAGCACTTCAAGCCAAGGAGACTCCAGTCCACAACAAACCACTCATGTGTAACAGTTTCACGCAAACAAAGGGAGATAGATCAAATGTTAAGAAACATGAGACTGGAATAGCTGTGATGGTGAGGGATGCTTCTACACAAAGTAACACTAATCTAGAGAAACCTTCATCATTCATTGAGGATGGTTCTGTGGACATTCTTGAAAACAGTGTAGGTCTTACAAGTCCAGATGTGAAAATATCAAGTCATACAGGAGATACAGACCTGTTAATGGATGTAGAAGAGGTTGACTTGAGCAATTTGGAGAATAAAGCACCCAAAGATCCACTCACTACACTCCGACCAATGTGGAGGTGGGCTGGTCGACAGACAGTGTCTGTTGGCGTAAACACAGGCGAAGCATGCAAGGATGTCTGGGAATCTGTGAACCCTGTTGATAACCAGTATACATTTGGGCCCATCAAAGAGAAAGAAAGGCGTAAAGCTGTTTACAAGACTGAAAGAGTGAAACAGCATAGTAATCTGTCAACAAAGGGCCAAAAAATGCAGAAACTGATTAAACGCAGGAAGTTTCTTAAAAATAAACAGTGGGAATATAACCGTAAGGTTGCTAAACTAAGACTGAAATTTGAACAAAAGAAGGCGACCAGTTCTGAGGTTGTGAATAAAGACTTGTCTATAGAAAACACTGTTGTGTCTGCTGATATGGCTACTAAGCAAACCCAACAGTTTGGGATGAAAGATTCAACTAATGACAATTCAGTGGGTAAAGTGGAAGATACAAATTTAGACAGCAATGAGACTAAAACTGATTCTTCAGAAAATGATAAGCATGCTGCTGTAGAACTTGGAACTCGTACTAGTTCTCGCATCAAGGCCTGTCAAGTTAAAGCACTTGACAATGCAGACTTGTCAGGTTTCTTTGAACATGTCCAGAAAAAGCTTAAGGATGTGGAGGAGGTAGAGGATGTGAAGAGCACCACCTATATTACAGATTCCAGTGATGAGGAGTGGCAACAGGTTAGTTATGTAGTTAGGACACATCTCCTTATGTCCAGTGAAATTCCTCCTGGCTTCCCAAGTGTTCCTAGTGGAAAATTTCTCTTTTTTTGCCATTTTTCGAAAAATTGAATCTTATGTTCCATGTTGAAATGAAATTTCAAACAGAGAAAAAATATCTACGATTGAGCAGAAACTGTTTTGAAAAAATTACTCTGCATTGGTAAAGTTTTAAGAAGTATCTTCAGCTTGGCAAAGAAGTCTGGGTGGAGATTTTCTGATCTCAGTCCTACTCTTACAAGTTGATTAAAAATGTTTATTTTACGTAAAGTTTTGAGCTAATAGACACTCTTGCATAATCTATCACAAATAAAGTTACAGTATGACAAGAATTCCTTTGCATGGACTTGTGTAATAAGGAAGGGGTTGGTCTCTCATAAATGACCCCAGTTACTTATATTGAGGCACATCAAACAGTGATGGACTGTCATATATTATGTCTGCATTTGGACAGATTGTACTTACATTGAGAGATTTAACAGAGACAAGATCTGTTCAGTCAATGTCTGCACTAGTACTAATGCAAGATAAGTTACATATTTGATCAACATGTAATATAATTAAACAAACAAGTAATTGAATTATGACGACATATGAGGGAAATGTTTATAAGGACAGGTAAATTTACAAGGTTAGGACTTGACTACATATAATCCCTGTTGATCTAATTTTGTTACATATTATGCACATTTGTTAAATTGTTCAGTATTTTGCACCTGTAACACTGTTTACCTCAGCATTTTTTACCTCCAGTCCTTTTCAGTTATGTATCTGAGGTTTCACTGTCACTGTATACCACAGTATTGACCTGTATCACCTGGTATCTAAATTTGTGTCATCCTTTATGCAGAGTTAAAATATAATTTCTATTTTTTGCAGCAATTTATAGAGAAGATTGTGTGATTGAAGGAATTGAAACACTGCTTTTAAAATTTGTTGTACATGTAGATATTGCTATCTTATACTTTGTGTTTCAAAAATAGATTTTTAATTTTATTTAGAAAGAGTTAACCATAGTGGTCTAAATAATTGCAGCTTCAAATTTTATTTGAAGCACCTTATGTAGGCTTTTGAGGCAGAATTTTATAAAATTGTTAGCCTCTACTAAGGATGACACTGCAGTTAAACCAAAATGTTTAAAAAAAAAAAATGCTACACTCCTGAAATTAATTCTTTCATTAACTTTGAAGCTTTCTTCTGTTGCCGATCATTTTCTTGACTTTAAACATTTTAAAAATGTGAAGAAGAGGGCAGTGTTGCTTGTATGATTACAAGGTAAGTATAGTGCAATTTATACTAGCTGTGTTTTGTGTTGTGATGAATACAGACATTTAAGTATACCACATTGTCTTGTGATAGTTCATGTTTAGTACCAGTAATTGTATAAATCTGCTGTTCACGGTAAACAAAATTTCAAAAAGATTATCTTATTGTGAAGAATATTTTTTAATATTAAGTTGAGTTTCCCAAAGAATTTTTTTAGGAATCAACATGGTCAATTGTTTCTCACGACTTATTGTTCCTGTTACAAAGTCACAGGTAGCATGTGTATATACTTGAATGTTTGAACACAACTAACATTTATGAAACTTTGCATATGTCTTACCTTCACATTAATGTTTGCATGTGTAACTAATCACTTGGGGGACCTAACAAAGTCTTGTTCTTCTGATTTACTTAAGATTTATAATTTCAATATTTTTTCTGAATTGTTTCCCTTTATTCCTCCACCATTTAATTGGTAGGGTTTTGGAGAGAGGTGGGGCAGGGAGGCAAATAATAGTATTACCCATGGCCGTCTGTCCAATCACATCCATTCATGGTGTCATAACATCTAGTTCTACACCTTACCATATTCATGTGGTTTTCAGTCCATTTAAGATAAAACATTGACATGATCACATTTATCTTTAAGACATTTTCTAATTTTCTTTTGGTCATGCCAGCGATGAAAAGTCGCATAAGTGAGATTAGGATGTTGCATTGTCAACATTTTACTTCAGGGTTTTTGGTTTAGATCAGTTGCTCAAAAAAGTCTTGTGTTTAACACTGTTTCTTGTAAAAGACATTTGCTAATCCATTCATACTTGGAATATGATTACACAGAAGTTCAACATTTAAACCCTTCAAATTGATGATATGATGTTTTCTTTTCATACTTTTTTGCGAAAAAGACTTTTGAGAAATAACTACACAATCTTAATGACTTGTTCTATTCAGATTAAGTTTAAAGTCATATCAAAACAAATACTGTAGTGTGTTATCACATTATCCTCTCCCTCTTCTATAAAAGCAATACAGAGTGAAAATGTCCTTGTTTCCATGTAGAACATTAAAGAATATGAAAAATTTCATTGATTAATGTATTGTATCAATATTTAAACATGACAACATGCTTATGGTGCTTACATGTCATTAAACAAAATTCACTTGACAATTTTAGAGTATTTATTTTCCTGAGGGGTGGGGTGGGGTGGTGGGGGGGGGAAGAGGGGATCAGAATATAGGTGTATTTTGCAGTTACATTAAAAATCATTTTAATAACAAAACATGACAGGTGATAGTCACACAAATTCTTGTATGAGAGTGAAATTGTATATCATCTTTTTTAGCTGGTGATTAAGCCTTAGTTATTACAAATTATCTAATTGTCGCTGTCAAGAATTTTCTAATAGTAAGTACTCTTCTGTATGATAATTTGGTCATTTTGTTTCACATTAGTCCATTTGTTAGCACATCATTGAAATTGTAGTAAAGGCCTTCAGATATAACATACACAGTAATACACTTCAGTGCAGTGCCAAAAAAACGCACATCCAACACATGAGCTCAGTTCACACACAATGGGATGCCATCTTTAAATGTCCCTAGCTGTTTGAAGGACATTAAACAACATCAAACCAAACCAACGAGGTTAAAAGAAGAAAGTTCATGTCAATATGGCTTATCAGCCAAAATTAAAATTCATGGTACAATTGGATTGGATTTGAGAAATTGTAAACTTTATGGAAATTGAAGCACAAGGAAGTGTTTAGTCTATTCAATCAAAGATCATATTGTCAATGTGAAATGAAGAAATTTTGTTGTTGAAATGTTGTGTAGAAAAATTAAAAAAAGAAAATAAATAAATAGACAAAATTTCTAAAATTAAATTAATATGGAATACCAAAAAAAAAAAAAACTGAAATTAACTTCAATAAAAATTATTTTTCCTGTTACAGGTGATCACTGAATTGTCTTCCCTTGGCACTGTATCTGATGTACAAGATACTCCCACATACACCAGTCAGTCTGTCAGTGACAGCAGTGTTGACCAGTCTGGAATACAAGGGGTGAGAGAAGTATGTATATCAGAGGAGGAGAATATGGAAGTGTACCTGATGTGTATGCAAGACACTAGTCTACAGGAGATGGATGTCTACTTAATGTACACAGATGACTTTGACATGGACAAATATACAGAAGTCATTCAGTCTGAACATCACGACCAAGCAGTGAGTGATGGTAGCTGGGATGAAGATGTTGAACTTGAACCTCAAAATGACATTGAAGACATTCAGCAGAATATTGATGAAAATATTTTCACAGAAAACGTGAATGTTGATGGAAATTCATGCAGTGGTCAGTCATATTTGAGGCATAATAAGACACTGAGTATCAATCCATTGTCTCCACATCAGTTTGATAAGATGTCCAGGGAGTCACACCATTCCTTAAAAGTCAAGACAATGAGAGCTCTCTCACTGAAACCTGTCTCTAATATAGCATCAACACAGGCAAGTATAGAAATGTCACCAAGTCACAAAATCTCACCTTCTCTTGAATCATCAGAGGTTAAAGAAATCGAAAGACTGAAAAATAACTGTAAACCATTAACAGTATCTCTGGCAGTTCAGGAAAGGTCACATACATTGAGACAACAAGAGGTCAAGGAAAGGTCACATACATTTAGACCACAAGAGGTCAAGGAATGGTCACATACATTGAGACAACAAGAGGTCAAGGAAAGGTCACATACATGGAGACATCAAGAGGTGAAGGAAAGGTTACACACAATGAGAACACAAAAGGTCAAGGAAAGGTCAAATACATTTACACCAGAAGAGGCAAAGGAAAGGTCACATACATTGGAACCACAAGAGGCCAAGGAAAGTTCACATAGATTGAGACCAAAAGAGATCAAGGAAAGGTCAAAGGGACGAGAGGTCAAGAAAAAGTCAATGCAACATCAAGTGGCCAAGGAAAGGTCATATACAAGGAGACGACAAGAAGATAGTCCCACGATACAAACAACTATACAAGAAAGTCAAGGAACATTACCATCATCAGGACAGCTATGTTTCCTAGAAATATCTCCAACTTCAAGACCATTGAATGTCGGAGAAAAGTCACAAGTATCAGGACCAGTTAATGTCCAAGTCCAAGAAATGTCACCAAAACATAGAAATCAAGAGGTCAAGGAAACTTGTAATAACTTTCCATCAACACAAACTCCATTTCAGAACATAGAATCAACACACATGACAGAGAAATGTGAAGAAGTGAACAAAGTGCCATTCTTAGGGTATGGATCTGAAGTGGTATGGGATGAGACTGCTGACGTCAAAGATGCTGATAATGTAGAGAAACAAAAGATAGATATAAATAATAACAACTGCACACCAATAGACTCCCCTACAATGTTCTTCACTGATTGTGAATATGAATATACCACTACTGACGATTATCTGTATCTGGATCCGTTGGATTTGTCCATGAAACCACAAAACTTCAGTAACCCTTTCCCTGGGAATGATCAAAACAGAAGCAATAGTGGTGTACTTAGAGAACAGAATCCTGGGTATGCATCAGGCATGTTAACTGACAATGATGTTTGTACTAATTTTGCTGCAGAAAGCAAATTTCAAAAGAAACTCTCCAGGCCCACTGTGGGTGCCACCCGAGTCTCGCCCTCGGTTAGA